TTTTTGGAAGTGTTTGTGACACGTATATTGAAAGTTCACCAGCTCCCCAACTGCTGAGAAATAACGGAGACAAACAGCATACACTGAGTATCTAATTATAAAATGTCACCATTTTTATTTTGTCATTGTAAAGAGGTGTATCTCAACCAGATTGTAACAAAATTACCATAGCTTATTCCAAAAGAAAATTTTAATACAAGAGATTTTAGAAAATTAAACACATTTGTTTAAAAATTCTATCGTGTAAACCTTACCGTGAGAGGGTAGTTAAGATCATACCATATTTCAGAGCGAACCCCACAGCTGTTAAGGCCTCACCCACACACACACAGACCCCGCGTGTCACCTTATAACCTGACAGGCAGCCCCCTCTGGGGTGCGTCCTGGGTGACTCTGGCCGGGCCGAGGGCCTCCACACGGGGAAGACTGTGGCTCCTGATCCGAAAGACGCCCCCCTCCAAGAAGTCGGTATCTGGTGAGTCAGCGTGTTGCGCAGCACAGGCGCCAGGGACGGAGAGGCTAAGGCCGGGGAAGGTGGCCTTTCTAGGATGAATCCCGGATAACAAGTCTCCCTCACCCCCTGCCCCCACTCTTGGACGTGCGTGCTCTCCAGGCTGGTTTCGCGAGGGGTCAGCGAGTCTGGTCGCAAATGCGCCATCTGCCATCTGGTCTCCTAGGTCCTCAGCCCCAGCCTTCGCGTCCCCCGTGTGCTCGCACCGATGGGAAGGGAAGTGCCCTGTCCCCTCGCCAGTCAAGGCAGCAGGTAGCAGAACGATTAGACTCAAGGGAGGGGGAGCCGGCTAGTGGTTCTCCAGTTGTGATGGGAAGACATTCACGTGCCAGTAAGAACCGAACCCCGGACCTCAGAACACCGGTGAACCCGGCACGTCCTACAAGTGGGGTGCACACCTGTGTGTCAGGCTCAGCCACCTAGAGAAATCAGATTTCTTTCTAGAGAAACGGACTGGGGAGGTCAGGAAGCCCATTCAGTGTGGTCATTAGGGTCTGGAGACAGAAGTGGGGGCTCCGTGGCAGAATGCGGAGCCACCGAAATCAAGCCCAGACGTGGGCGATGGCTCGTGGCTGCGCAGGTGGGAAGTCGGAGCCTGCGGGTCCATGATGCCGGGCGGGGCAGACAGCGCCCAGAGCGTGGAGCCGTCGGTGCTCCTCCCCGACGCCTACTGGTCCAGTAGTTGAAGTTTTATTTTAAAAACAATCAAGACTGCATGAAAATGAAGGTTTTGGCATGGAAGTGTTAGATAAAATATACAGTACAAAATCAGCACAGAAGCCAGTCTGAACAGCAAATATTTAATGTTCGCTTTAATGAAACAACGCACAATGTTTTGAAAATTGATCATCGCAAAAGGCCTTGCAGACGCCTGCCCGCCGGGAGCACCGTCTGCTGAGTCACAGCCCGCAGGCTGGGGGACGGTCGGCGCGTGTGGCATCGTCCCAAGTGAACCATGGAGGGTTAAGACGGTCACTGCGTCTGTGGTTAGAAATGGGCGTGGGGCGCACCCCGTCCAGGCCTCTGAGCCAGTCCACACTTGGCAGGTGGGGCCCTTGGCGGGGTCTCAGGCGGTCCAGGCAGGCCCGTCCCAGCTCCAGCCTGAAAGCCAGCCCGCCCTGTGCCGTGGGTCCCACACCAAGGCGACGTGGTGGGGGCGGAAGCCAGTGCTCGGACACAGGCCTGGGCTGCGGCCCAGGGAAGGGCCCCAGAGGGGGCGGTTAGGAGGGTACCTGCCGGGACGCCAGAGAACAGGGCCCAGCCTCCATGCGAGGGGCCCCCATGTGAAGGTCAGCAGGGGCGGTGGGGGACCGAGGCCTCCAGTGGGCAAACTGTACTGTGTGAAACGAGAAACGGAGGCCCCCAGGCGGCCCGGCTGCGCCCCAGTTCCGGGAGTGAGCGGAGGGCGTGTGACCCGCGGGCCGGCTGGGGGCCTCGTCCCCGGTTCTGGGCCCGTTGCCTTGCACTGCTCGCTGCACCTGCGTTCTCGGTTCTGCGATGGAAACAGCCCCGCCTGCCTGTTTTGTTCCAGGCACAACATGCAGCCGGCCGCGCTTGTGAACGTTCAGTGGTCATCCGAGAACCCATCTGACTCAGCTCTGAGCGGGATGCGCGGCCCAGTGCGGTCATCAGACCTCGTCCCCAGCCCTGGCCCATACCCCTGGCTCTCGCCGTTCGTGCCTCTTGCTCAGTCTCACAAGATGGTACCTCGTCCTTACGACTCAATCGGGTGACCCCTTTTGAATCCAGGAAGCCCATGGATGTGCCTGGCTACTGGGGGCCAAAGGCGACCGCCACAGACATGGGAGCCGCTCCTCCCGCAGGGCCTGACTAGACAAGCCCAGGCTGTTCTGACCTGGGCTCAGCTCTCAGGCTGCTGGCCAGTGATGTGAGCAGCGTGTGCCCACGGGTGGGGCCGAGGGCTGCTCTGCCAGGTCCCCCTCCCAGGAACCCCAGCTTTCCCCGCTAGGGAGCGACGTCTCTGGCCAGCCCTCCTCTTTCTGTGTTTAGTTCACCTGGGGAATGAAGGAAGAGACGAACGAGACGATGGCAGAGACAGACCCGGCTGGTGTCTGTCCTGTTCCTGCTAAAACAGCGCGTGGGCAGCCAGCCTGCCTTTGGGGGGACGCAGAATGGGCTCCTCCGGCCAGCCCAGCGTGGTCCCCGCGGTGAGAGGCAGGCCCCGTGGTTCCCTCTGAATGGGGAGGCCTTCCTCTCTGAGCTGTAAGCTTTGTGGGCACCCAAGAATCTCCTCAGTGGATCAAGGAGACAGAGCGACTTCAGCTGGTCCTCCTGCAGGCGCTTTCCCTCCGACAGGTCACAGGGGGCCGAGTGGGTATTCGGAGAGGGGACGCCAGCCTGCATCGGATCCGGGTCTGAGGGCAGACGAACGTCCTAAAGGGGTGGCGTTTTGTGCCCCAGGTCTCGGCTTGGACCTCCCTGGACCTGGGTGGTTGTCTTCTTCCTCGAGGAGCTGGGGGAGTCTCCCCTAAGTCTGTCCATCACGCTGCAGAGCAGGACCCGCCATATTTTGAGCAGCTGAATGGATTAAATCATTGCAGAATATCTACTGTGATTCAAAAGTTAAGGCTTTGAGGAGTTGCTGCCATGTGCGTGTCACATGCATATCTGAGCTGAAATGAGAGGGGGTGTCTGTATGTTGAAGGTGATTCCAAGGTTTGTGCGTGATCACAGAAAGTGGGTGCAGAGAGCAAGCAGCCCGATGGCTCCGTGTGGCCCCTAGAAACATGCTTTTACAGTCCACAATTTGGGAGAGCAGGGCCAGTTTTCCGTGAATAATTAAGCTTTAAAAAGTGGGGAGACAGGGTTTCTCCTTTTTAAATACAGGTCGAGTATGGACTTGCTTCTCCTGGCTCAGCCTCTGTACCGTTGTGGCCCTGGGGGCCTCTCTTTTTAAATTTTGCTTTGTGTGTTTTTTTTTTTCCTAACTCGGTGCAGGAAGTCATAGCAGCTTGCTGGAGGGGGCGGGCTTGGGGACGGCGAGGCCAGATTCACGCTCAGACTGTTGCGGGTCAGGTTCCAGGAGAGGCCGCTCAGAACCCGGGCCCTGGTCCGGGGCTGGGGCTAACACACAGAAAGGGGCCGCGGGGGCAGGTTCCGCTGCCCAGCAGTGCTGGGTCAGCCTGTCAGCTGGGCCCAGAGGACAACTGAGGCCGAGTGAACCGAGGCGGAGGCGGGGTGTGGGGCGGCGTGAGCTTGAGGCGGCCCCGTCGGCCTGGGACTCGGAACTGGCCAAATCGGCAAACTGGAAAGAGAAAAGCCATGTTGCCTCTCGAGAACTCGGCGTCCCCCCGTGGTCCCCAGACACTCCGCGCTGACAGCAACGTCCCCCTGCCACACACACTCCCGCTTCCAGCCACGGAGGACAGCAGGCTCGTCGGCTGCCCTGGCTGAACGTCGGCTCAGCTTTTCCGCCTAGCTGACTTTTCCCAGAGTCTTCCTCCATCCAGGGAAATGGTCGCTGTTCTCCCAGGTTGTCCACCGGGTTTAAGCTGAGGAACGGGAATGTTCCAGATGGAGAACAGGTGAGCTTTCCACCACCATTCACACACGTTTACGTTCCCTACGTCTCTACCTCAGGTCAAACCGATTCTCACGTAGTCCATTTCACTCCTTCTAAGTACTTCCCCCAGAACATGCAACTCGTAACTGCCTCAGCGGCCGAGCGTGGGCGACAGTGCCCTGGCCCGGGAGGCTGTCTGAGCTGCAGGGTGGGTGGAGGGGCCTGGGGGCTGCCACGCCCTCGTCTTTACCCTGCTCCCCCTGTCAACGGGGCCTGTCCTGAGCTGGGGGGACAGAGGATTCAGTCGGGGTCACACAGGGTCCTGCTCACACTGAGCATGTTGGGGGGCAGAGGGCGTACTGCGAATTGTGTCTTTAGGGGACAGTCATGATCTGTTCAGAGTGGACACTGTCCAAGCTCAGAGAGCCACACCAAGGCCCCAAAGCCTCAGGCGACCAGAGCTGAGTCTCTCTCATGACCTTGAGGCCTCCTGGCTGGTGAGGCCAAGGCCATCGATTCCCGGACAGCCCAGGGCTCTGAACACAGGGTCGCCAGGTTGCTGCCGATGGCCAGCCTGGATGGGTGAGGTCCCTTCAAGCCTGCCAAAGGTACAAGAGGGCCCAGGGGGCCTCAGGGTTCCCATGTGGGCTGGTCCTTCCAGAAGCCAGTTACGGGGAGGTAGGGGACATGCTCCAAGAGCCACAGTTCGGCATCTCTCCCGGCCCCTTCGCACGAAGGCGCTGGAGGAGGGATGGCAGAGCTACTGCTGGCCACGGTGGCGATGACTAGGGTGTCTAATGACCACCGGGGGAAAGGAGAATGGAGAGGAGCAAGGCCCCCCACGCCCCGCCCCACCCCACATGGCCGTAAGTTGTAGCAGGCGATTCCATTAAAAAG